AATGCAATCAATCAAGTGAGACTATATACCGCTAAAAGATTGTGTTCTAAACTGGCCCGTTTTACAGCGGATAAACTTTTTACAGAGACTGTCGCGCGACAACCACCTTAAGGAATTTCAGGGACAACAGAGTTTACCTCAGGATTATTTTTCGATGTATTTAAGAATGGATTTTTCGTCAGAGAAATCGACATTTCAATGATTATTGTTTTTGGTGGACCTAAACCATACATTGACTTTATTATTGAATAAAATTTAGAGTGACCACCATCACAGAAACGTGAGGTATGCTCTTTAGAAGAGCCCTATTTTATTTTGTAACGATGCAAATACTATTTGTGGATTAAAAATAAAAATATTGAACCTAAATGTAAATAAAATGATTTGATAACTATTAATAGAATTTCCGTGGACAATTCCGCCATTTCAAAAATAATTCCGATAGAAATTGACGAACAATTGTCTCGCAAAATACAAATGAGGAACTCTCAGGAGACATGACCGGATACCCGAGTAATTGGGGTAATTTCCACCTCGCAATTCGATCCCTCCATATCAACATTTACATATGGGAGGTAAAACACGAATGGATAAGGTGGTCCATGTACGAGAGAGGTCGGTGAATAATTATTGAACTGGATCGAATAGCTCTCAGTCGAACTAGTCTGCACGTACATATTTACCATCGGATGTGCGGTTCAGTGTCCCATTCAGCCAGTCTTCTTCCAAAGGGTTCATGACTCTTGCATCTATGTACTCATCATCCCCCCTGTCAGTCCGTTTTTTTCTGTAAATCTCGTGGTGTCCAAGCTCGTCCCCACAAGAAGGACCTTTTTCCGCTTTCCCCCATAAGAAGTATCCAACACTTTTTTTCTCTCCGGTTTTGGTACAAATTGTTAGATATGCATATAACTATTGATTATGCATAAAAATCCTACATCAAGTAATTTTTTTTTTCACATTTTCCTCAGGTTTGAATAATTTATGAATAATGATCTACGGCCCAAATAAATATGAAATTCACCATTAGTTGATAGAGAAATTCGGTTTTGGCAAAATTTTACTGGTTCGGCCCGTGGAGTCAAGCTGACTCACAAAATTAAAAAAAAATCCACCGATGAGACACGATGGTAATATATCACGCTGGTCACGACAGCTCCCGTCACTTTTGGAGACTTAATTTGTCCATTTTGCCGTCATGAGTGTCCGGTAACATATATGATCACGATTTCCATGGTAAACATGATATTGCACTGGCAGATGGAGATTTAATCCCTTGGCAGATTCAAACGAGATCTCTCCCGGGGAATTTACAACGTCGATATGAGGAGCTGGGGATGAGTTTTCGGATAATCCCATTGGTTGAAATCTAGTGAGCTCAAAATTACGTCAGTGTTCTCACTTGGGTGGTATTTACTGACGAGTGGGGACTGAAAAAAAGTGTACCTTTGTTTCTGTCCTCAAATTACCGCTGAAAATTGAAATTCTTTTTAAACTCCAATTTTCTACTATGCGAAAAAAATGTCAGGGTAACATTTTATGATGTTTTTTTTATTCCATATGTGTTTGGTGAAGTGCAGTAATTCCTTAGTGAAGTTAATTCAATAGTTCTACGATTTTTTCCTCAAATAATAGCGATAATTGAGGAATTCTTAAAGTTTAAACAAAGGAACATTTTGCCCCAGTTTATTGTTTGCAATGTTGTGGTGAGGTACTAGTTAAATATCGAAAACAAACGGGGGACAGATGCATAACTTATTCACTCCGATCAATAACGAAATATGAATGTAGGTAGTACAGAAATTGTAGCTGTGCCAAAACAATTTTACTAGTGATCTGGGGAAAGCAGTTGGCCCCGTGGAGTGAAAAGCGTCGACCTCCTTGAAAAAATTTTTCTCTCATCTGGCTCTGTTTCATTTTCATAAGGATTTACTGCGAGAAAGGAGAGGGGGCTGAGAGATTGTACCATTTTTCTCGCAAACAGCAGTGCTGAAACGATGGGGATAACTCTTCCAGAAAAAGGAGCGAACAATGTGTCTGAGATGTTCAACAGAAACATTTCATAGCCAGTTTTCACTCCAACATCTGAGATATGCCCTCATAATTGAATTTTCATTTCCATCATGAGGTTAAGCATCTATTGTCAGGAAGTGTTTCCATGATTGTCAATCTGCACGCATGAATAAAAATAGAAAATTTATGGGTAGCTGGCTAATTCGATTTGAAAAAGAAAAATAATTGATTTTCAAGATTTAGATTTAGAAAAATAGGGAAATGAGATTCTTCAGGTGATCATAGAAAAATTGCGGAAGGAAAGATAAACATTTCAATTGAATACCAGAGATTTTACTGTAAATATTTGTAAAGATAAGACAAAAAATTTTAATTGTATGAGAAAAAATATTCGATATGAGTTGTTAAATTTCCTCACCACTTACTCCTGTCTGATAAAATTGTGGTGGGAATTAAAAACGCCGAGGGGTGAAAAATGTCTGAAGGAGGGAGATAAAAGTGTTCTGAGTACCACGAGTGTTACACCCTGGATAACATCCTGATTAACTTTTTAACGTTTGTTCGATCGGAGCTTACGCGTCGATAGTTACACCCTGGGATCAACCCAAGAAACATCAGCCAATTTCAACGAAAGCCAAAAGCCGAGCAAACTGTAAAAACTTTCCACTATCAACCCTTCGTGTCGGAGTATCCGTGCCAACTTTTTCAATGTACATACGTACATCCGGCTATCATCCACGTGTAACTACTCCAATTCCCCTCTTCCGTCACGGTTCAATGATGCACTTTTTGTAAATATGCAAATACGTCCCTCGATCTCTGCCAAAATTCATCGAACGAGAGTGGTTTATCGTGTTGATGTACCGTAAATGGAACGTTATTCAAACTTTTGATACAGTTGAATGCACTACTGCTTTAATCATGATTTTACCTTAATTGTAATCAATCATCAACTCAAATTTATCCCAAAGTATATAATAAAAAATACGATTAGTAACGGGATTGAATTCGCAGATTTTTTTCCTTTTTTAATCCCGAAAAATGATTTTTCTAATTGACTATAATATATGATAGATCTATAAAAAGATTTTTGAAATTCGTTGTAAAATTTTAATTCAATTTTTGATTTAAACATTTTTTTCGGATCAATCCGATGAACAATTTGTCAGAAAAGAGAAAAAACCGGTAATTTTGATGAAAAGGGGGGATAAAATTCTCAAATATTCCATCACTTTGTTATTTTTCGCCGACTAGACTGGCTTTAAGCTTGCATTTATCAAAGACTTTTTATCCACACGCTCCAGCACTACATCAGGCATGCGACAGACTTGCCGGTCACACATATCCAACATTTGTCACGTTCAGGTCTCAAGTCATGCATAAATTCACTCTACTTCACCCAAGTTTCTCGTGGTTCCCATATATTTTTCTCCCTTGTCCCACCACAACATCAAGTTTCGCGTTATGCAGTTGAATTGTCACAACTACGCGGTCGCCAAGTGGTATTGGAGCACATGTCGAACTTGGAAACCGCGATCAATGCCGAACAACTGTTCGCCAGTGGAGAATCCCAGAAACACCATTTCTAAGTGGGTGATTGCAATTTTCCGATGGAAAACAACCGTGTCTAAGACCCCGAGACCAATAAAACAACATCAGGTGATAATGCTCTACATATATTGTACAAATTACATTCTCAAACTCAAAAATATACTATTCTCATAATGATTATATAACTGTGGATTAAAAAAATGATTATAATAGTAATAATGATAAAACAATAAGGTGTACCATAGATGATGTGTGATATTATTCATTCCACAAATTCCCTTTGATTTTTATTCGATGGAATTGACACAGGTCAGGTCACAGGGTGGTCAGGGTGGGCGGATAAAACGGAATTCAGTTGATACAAGAGCACGATAGTCAGGTGTTATTCGACATTTTGTCTACTTCAATTGACATACGTTTGAAACAGCTATCTATGTGACTTGACACGATATTTACATTGGCTACCAACTTTTTCGGTATCGTGTCGCGGAAAAGATTTTATTTTTTTCTTCACCGAGTATGGAAAATTGAGCGACAATACCCAATTCAGAGAATGATTCCACTGAACCTTGAACTTTTCCGTTTCCACTGAATTATTTTTCTCCTTTTTTTTAAAATAATGATATAACGACGATCAGAGTTTCCGCAGGGTGATTTCGTTTTGCACTCGATTGTTGCGTTCACTATTTCTCTTTTTCAGATTATCTGATATCTAGACAGGGAAATGTGAAGGTTTTCGGTGTTCAAAATGCCTCACTCGTTTTTCACCAGTACTTTTTCTCATCCCATGGTCGTGCTGATAGGGAGAACACAAGGCCAGGCAATTGCTTTGTGCTTGCGTGCTGCGGAAGCCAGAGTGCACGGATATCGAGCTCGTGTTGGAATTTTCGGTTGAGGGTGCATTGTTACATGCATTCACGGTTACATTGGGGTTGGATGCCAGGAAAGACGCCGAGTGGGTAAATGAAAACTGTCGAAAAGTGGATGAAAAGAGAGGCAGAAGTCTGATGAGGGAATAACTTTTAAATGGAAACAATTTACAAGACTTGATGGAATGAATCATTACAGTTAAAAGAACGCGTTCAAGGGGTTCCGACCCCTTTACCACCTTTAATTAACTAAAAAAGAGATCGGCAACATAAAACCCACCTCTACATACTGATAATTTCATTAAAATAGAAAACACGAAATATTGTCAACCGATAATTTACATCGAGTAAATTTCCCCCTCAACGACGGAAAATACGAAAATGAAAAAAAAAATGGGAAAATTGCTAGTAAAAGGTTTTACAAATTTTTTATCGAAATTCTATACAGGTAATTGTTTAATGGAATATCCCTCAAGTGCACTTTTCCTGGTATTCGGTTTTTTTTCTGACCCAGAATTGTCCAGCGATGATTATTCTCCGAGAAGAATTACGCCGAGAATAACCAGATTCTCTCGCACGGAATGGTGAATATGATGAATATGAAATTTCTCACCTTTTCCTCAATTTTTTCAACTGCCCTCTCCATCATATCCCCAGCGGCCTTCACCGCTGATGAAACTGCTTGCTCCTTTCTCGACATGTGGCCGCGGAAAGATGCCTGGATCTTTGTCGCTGCGTTGCACAAATCTGCAACAACCAATAGCAAACAGAATTGAATTACCCAACATAAACGATAAAATCCAAGAATTTCCAATTAGAAAATGTAAATGTAAGCCACTTGAACTCATTGAACTGCAATTTCACGGAGATGTCAAGACATCTCGTTAATTGAGAAGTTATTACCGATATCTTCTCCCTTTTCAAATTTTTTACAAATATCTCAGAAACGGTTGAGAAATTCACAATAAAAAATACACTGTTTTTAAAGATCGTGAAAGAATTTTCCTACGTTCTCAGCAAACTTTTGCAACAATTCCCAAGAC